GTTGGTGTGTCAGCTCAGGTCCTCCCTCTTTAAAGATTTCAGCAGGGATCCCGTCTGGTCCACTGGCTTTGTAATTTTTCTGTTGGCTGATGGCATTGCTGACTTCTTCCAAACTGGGCAGTGCTGCAAGCTCATCCCTGGTTTGTTGTTGTGGGATTTGTGAGAGGACCTCTTCGGCCACATTGGAGCTGCGGTTCAGGAGGCTTTGGTAGTGTTCTTTCCAACGTAGTGCAATTGAGTTTTGGTCCTTCAGGAGTTTGGATCCATCTGATGAGCGTAGAGGCTGTATGCCATGGTTTCTTGGTCCGTAGATGACCTTTGTGGCCTTGAAAAATCCCTGAGCATTATGGGTATCTGCCAGGTGTTGGATTTCTTCGGCCTTCTTTGTCCACCAGATGTTCTTGAGTTCTCTTGGACCTTTGGACCTCAGCTTTTGCACTGGCATAGATCTTTTTCTTAGCTGCACAGTTGATGTCTCTCTGCCATGCTTGGAAGGCTTTCCTTTTCTTGTCAATTAGCTGTTGGATCTCGATGTCATTTTCATCAAACCAGTCTTGATGTTTCTTGGCTTGGTATCCAATAGTTTCTTCGCAGGCTTGGATGATGGAGGTCTTCAGTTTGTTCCAATGTTCCTCAACATTTTCGGGGTGTACTGTGGGTAGATGGTCCTTGAGTGCTGTTTGGAGATGGGCTTGTCTGGAGGGCTTCTGAAGGGCTTGGGTGTTCATTTTGCGCCTTGTCTTCCTTCCTTGGAGTCTGCGCTTGGGAAGGATCTTGATAGCCATCGAGGATCGAATTAGCCTGTGGTCAGTCCAGCAGTCGTCAGCACCTGTCATGGCTCTTGTGAGGAGCACGTCACGGCGGTCTCTGGCACGTGTGATTACATAGTCTAAGAGGTGCCAATGCTTTGACCGGGGGTGCTTCCATGATGTCTTGAACTTGTTTTTCTGGCGGAAGAGCGTGTTGGTGATGACAAGGTTGTGCTCCGCACATTTGGTGAGAAGCAGGATGCCATTTGAGTTGCTGTTTCCAACCCCGTCTTTTCCTATGGTCCCTGGCCACAGGTCGAAGTCTCGGCCGACTCTTGCCGTGAAGTCCCCCAGGAGGATGATTTTGTCCTCCTTAGGTATCCCCGATAGGACGGTGTCCAGCTGACAGTAGNTGTTGGTGATGACAAAGTTGTGTTCCACACATTTGGTGAGAAGCAGGATGCCATTCGAGTTGCTGTTTCCTATGGTCCCTGGCCACAGGTCAAGGTCTCGCCCGACTCTTGCATTGAAGTCCCCCAGGAGGATGATTTTGTCCTCCTTAGGTATCCCCGATAGGACGGTGTCCAGCTGACAGTAAACATTTTCCTTGATATCTTCGTCAGCATCTAGTGTTGGTGCATAGGCACTTATGATGGCTGCCCGTTGGTTTTTGGCAAGATCGATTCGGAGGGTTGAGAGTCGTTCGTTGATGCCAGTGGGTGCTTCGGTCAGATGCTTCACCAGATCATTTCTGATAGCAAAGCCAACTCTGTGCATTATTTGGTCTTCTTCAGGCAGTCCCTTCCAGAAGAAGGTGTAGCCTTCTTTTTCTTCCTTCCGCTGTCCCTCTCCTGATCTCCGGGTCTCCTGAAGGGCTGCTATGTCGATGTTGAAGCATCCCAACTGCCTTGCAATGATGGCAGTTCTGCGTTCGGGGCGTTCACTGTCACTGTTGTCCATCAGTGGCCATACGTTCCATGTACCGAAGTTCATTTTTCTTTTTTGGCTGCAGGGTGGTGACTCCATTGGACGCAGTAGTCCAGTCAGGGATAAGAGAGGCAGACTATGTTTAGGGCACCTTCTCTAGCCCCCTCCTTCCCCGTGTGGGGTGAGCAGAGTGGGTCCTCAAAAGGGCTGCTCAGTTGTGGATACAGCTGTGGATATAGTCGTGGATACTCAACTGCCTCGGACCTTGAGGTAGAACGACTGAGTCCGTACCCACCGCCCATGTGCCAGTCTGTGACTAGGGGCTTCCAGATTTCACAGTCCTGCCCCCGTCGCCACTCGCTGATCGCCATGGGACTTTGGTTGGTTTGTTTTTATTTTCTTTGGAAGACGCCTGTGCGTGAGTTTTTTTGTTAAAGTGTGGAGGTCAGTGCACAACTGATCAACACACAGTCTTCACAGAGTGAGGTTCCACTGGTGGTGTAGTTTAACACAATGACCATGGCTTCTCAGTCTGTTGCAGCCTTCCTCCGCCTTCACACCGTTGTAACATGTACCATGTTATCCTCCGCCTGCTCCGCCGTTGAGGTCTTTGGGTCTTTGGACTGTGCTTGGTCTGGAACTTCCCTCGCGGCCACTCCTGGGAGTGCACGACTCCAGTTGTTGTGCCCGCAGATTCATTGGAACACACAAACCCCCTCACCACGACAAGTACAGAGATATAGAATGCAAAGATACAGAATGGGGGACAATGCCTGGCTAGAGAGCAGTACGTGGAAAAAGATCTTGGACTCCTCGTGGACAACAAGTTAAACATGAGCCAGGAATGTGATGTG